CCCCCCCCCCCCCCCCCCCAAATAGATATGCCACGTAGGATGATTCGTTTAGGCTGAAATTTTCAGAAATGAATGATCGTAGTAAGAGACACTTCTAGTAAAAGTTTTCAACCGATATGTCAAACTAGACGAGACTTCTGGTTAGAGAACTGCGGGTCCTTCCAGATCCGGTCTGCATTAAGTTATGAATGCAAATATATAACAATAACAATTGAAGTCAACAAAATTGAAAAAGAAACAGTCAAAAATAATTTTACACTCATTTTACCTTTAAAGTCGCCAATAAAGAGCTAAAATTGTGTTCCCTTTCCTGTTCATGTACACATAGGGTGTCAAATATTGGTGAAAAAAGGATCGGGTCTAGACCCGGCCGGAGTCCGGGTTTAGACTCAGCCGGGTCCGGGTCCGGGTCCAAAAAAACATGGACCTGCAGCTCTCTACTTCTGGTCTATTTATAGTCAATTCTTTTGGCCTGCAAGAGAATCATTATAACTTCCTTATGACAAGAGATAGAGGGCTCAGAATGATTTCAACTTAAAGTTAACTCCAGTACGCAATTTTTCATCGGGTAGAATTTTGAAATTGATTTTCATTCATTTTCTATAATCGTTTCAGTACACATGGAATCCAAATAAGCCAAAAAAAAATGCCACTGTATGACATCAAATAGCGCTTTTCTTATTGCAGAAATCAAATATAAAAAATCTGGCTAGACGAAATTTTACTCTCGCTTAGACCTTTAAAACAAAAAAAAAAATATTGGTATTATCTTGAATCGTGCGGGAATTATTTTCATTTTTCTAAATCAAAAACCATGTTTTTAAGAAAAATAATAAATAAGTTTAGAAATTGAGTTTTTCATTCAAATCTAAAAATAACGGGATATTGATAATATTTTTGGGGAATTTTTGAAATCACGCAATAGATGATCAAAGCTAGCCATATGGTTCGTACTATGTCATATAAAAATGTCTTGTAGAAGTAGCAAAATAGTGTTCTCAAAAATAGCCAAAATCTCTTCAAAAACCGAATAAAGAGCTGAAAATTCGCTACGGAGATCTATTAAAATTTGATCTTTTTTTAAAAGCCTATATATATATTCTGAAAGAGAAAACTTCACTGCATCTTCTTCCTATGATAAAAACTCAACTTCCATTACATTACAAACAAATGGATTTTCTGAAGGGCCCTTCCCCTCTTACATAGGTCCACAAGAAATTAAAGTTATTCTGGTCTAACTTTTTTTTTTTTACAAAACTATGATAAACCTTTAATAGTTTTAGATCCTTTAGGGTGTGTGTGTGAGTGTAGATATTAATGTTCTCTTCCTTCACTCATACCTACACTCACACCCTAAAGGTATTAAAGGTACTCAAAGGGTTAAAGAGACTAAAAGTTTATCATAGTTTTGTAAAAAGTTAGACTAGGATAAATTTAATTTCTTGTGGAACCCTCAATACGAAAGAAGATATTACAGATTGTTTGTCAGCAATTTGATTACACCATGCTTAAGAAAGCAATGCAATCATATATTAATGAATAGATTGAATATTTTTTATAGGTGTTAGCATAAATTATGAATCTCCATCTGACGAACGCGCAATATAAAAAGAAAATTATATTCTTAGACAATCTCAAAGATGTTTCATATTTATTAATGTCCTGATTTTTGATTGATAACTCGATATTAAAATATTTTTGTAAATTCTATTATAATAATTATATAATCCTATGAGGAATTCCCAAAACAAGGCTCAACCAATCATATGTTTTTTTTTTTTTGAATGGAAAGAGTTCTTTCTTGTGAGTAAATGAATCGAGGAATTATACACCAATGAAATACTGAATGAATCAGTAAATTACGTATCTCACCTTTTTCTTTCTTTCTGTCAAAAAAAAAGAAAAATAATTATTCTTTTTTATTATTTAGATGAAATGTATGCAGAAGTTTGTGCTTATTTAACAACCAATCGATACTTTCAATTACCAAATCATGATGTAAGAATTTTTATTTATTATAATACAAATAAGAGAAAATAAAATGTATACATTAAATTCATTTTTAGAAAACTATGATCAATTTTACATCTATTTTTTGTTTTATAATTTTTATTGTCATGTGTTTTATTGGTGTTGGAATTATAAGACGTTCGGATTGGAAGTATGTTTTATAAATTTTATGAAAAAAAAAAAAAACAAAATTGTTTTTTATTTAGATTTGGTGATAATGATGATGATGAACCTGAAAAACATTTATCCGATGAAACAATATCTACAGCAACTGCATTATTATCAAAAACACCTCGAAATAGTATTATTCATTCATCAAAACATTCAACATCTAATGTTCGTCATCGAGTTCATTTTGAATCTTTAGATGAATGTAACCATTTAAATAGTGAACATATTTAGAAAATTCCTAGTATTCGTTCTTTTGTGAACAATCTGTTTTTTTTTTCTTCTTTCCTTGCTTTCTCTTTTTATAATCTCCATATTTTTGTATCTTATTCGTTGTCAGTTATCCACTGAATAATTTTTATAAAAAAAAAAAAACGAAAGAAATATATAGAATAAATTGAATACAAATTATAAAAAAAAAAACGAAAATATTCTTTGTAAAGGCAAGTATATTTTTATCCAATCATTTTGCAACAGGCTGTTCAAAAAAAAGTAATTGCAACATGTAGATAAAATTCTTTTAGTATAAAAGGAGCTTACAAATTTGAATTGCTTTCACTTTTTTTTTTTTTTTGACTTGAAAAAGAAAAATGTAAGTTTTATGATTTGAAAGATTTTTTTTCTTCTAGATTCAACGATGTCAAAAAATCTTTTACATCAATCAGCATCATCTGATGCTCTTCGTTTAAAAGCTTTACAATCTGGTTTTGAAAGTCGTGTTGAAGTTAATCAACGAATGTTAATTGATAAAATGCTTGCACGTTATTCATCAGATTTTGTTGTTTGTCGTGAATTAATTCAAAATTCTGATGATGCTAAAGCAACATCATTTCATTTTGAAATAATTTGTGATGATGATAATGATGATAATGAATTAATTTCTTTATCAGAAAAAAATTTTCATAATAAAACTATAAAAGAAATTCGTGCTATTAATAATGGTCTTATATTTAATGAAATAGATTGGAAACGTGTTGCTGCTATAGCTGAAGGAAATACAAATGTTGAATCTGTTGGTCAATTTGGTGTTGGATTTTTTTCTGTTTTTTCATTTTCAGAAGAACCAATAATAACATCAGGTAATGAATATATGGCATTTATTTGGCGTGATGATAATTCTTTAACAACATATCGTCATGAATTACCATTAGAACAACAATCAAAATTAACATCAATTATACTTAAAATGCGTACAAAATATATTTTACATACAGAAACAAATCTTGATTTTGATTCAATCATAGATATTAATGAAAATTCTTCAAATAATAAATCACCAAATAGAAAACGACAAAAAAAAAGTATAACATCAATAACAACAAATGATATTATTCCAACAATTAATCTTGCACAACTCAAAGCTTATTTTACTAAAGGTAGAGTACTATATTCTAAAAAAATACATAGTACTATTGTAAAAAATAACATATTGCTTAATTAAAAATAAAAAAAAATTTGATAGATTTACAATTACGCCACGGTATCTTGTAAGTATCTTGACTGACATGTTACACTTGAGTGATTTCCAATATTAGAAATAGCATAAATAAATATATATATGTTTCAATATCTATACCTTGGGACATTGAATGATAAAATAATTTCAATAATATAAATTACCAAATAATTAGAAACAAAAAAAAACAATAAGTTACTACTTGGCGTGTACTGCTAGATTTTAAAACACATTTTTAATTACTTTATAATTCATTTTTTCATCATGAATTTATTTGATGAAATCTTCATATGAGATAAAATATTGATGATTATTAAATTTTTCTTTTCTTTTCTTTAGTTTTATCATTTACAAAATATATAAATGAACTTGTTATAAAAATTAATCAAAAAATAATTTTTAAAGTAACTAAAACAAGAAAATCTATATCATTAATAAAATCTAATGTACAATTTAAAAAAAATTCTATACATAATATGTTACATTTTGATTCATTAATTCAAACTGAACAAATTTTTTCTATTGATCATGGTCCATCTATAATATTAAATCATATATCTGTTGATGCAACATTAATTATTGATGAAAATTATCATAATCATATTCGACGTATATTAAAAAAAAGTTTACCATCAAATGTACAAATTCAACTTTTATATACACCTAATAATGTAAAAAAAAAAAAAAAAAGAAATATAATTTATATTTTAATTTTGAAATATTTCTTTATTCAGATTGTTATGACACAACAACAACAAAGAAAATCTTCAAAAATTGATGATCTTCATATGAAAATTCTTAATTCATTAATACCATTAAAATTTCAAAATGATGAAATTTATCCATCAGGTTTAATATTTATTGGTCTTGGAACACATCAAACAACTGGTATAGGAATGCATGTTTATAGTCATTTAATACCAACAATTGAACGTGAAAATCTTGATTTACAAGATCCATATATATCAAAATGGAATAGAGAACTTCTTTTATCTGTTGGACAAATAATTAGACATGTTTATGATCAATTAATATCTACTAATAAACAATTTGATTCTATACTTGCTTCTTATTCATTTCAACCATCTGTACCAAATAATGAAATTGGTAAAAAAAAAACTTAATATTTCTCTTTTTCAATTCTAAAATATATAGTAAATAATTTTCTATATTTCATATGCATTATAACATACAGTAAAACCTCCCTATAGCGGACACGTATGAGACTTTTTGAAAGTGTTCACTATATGGAGGTGTCCACTCAGTGGCGTACGCAGGGGGTGCCGAGGGCCCCCCTTGAGACGAAAAAGTCCTGGAGGAGGGTACAGGAAAAAATATTTTCACGTGATAAAAAATTTTTTGTGCCATGGCCGCCCCCCCCCTACGAAGTTGGGCCCCCCTTGAAAAATTTCTGCGTACGCCACTGTGTCCACTATAGGGAAGTTTGGTCTTTTCAAAAAAGTGAAGTTTTTCGAAGAAGCAGGCGCGTTTTCTAAGGATTTGAAGGGTGATAGTGAATAAGATAACTAACCAGTGCTCATTGTTACTTCCCTCCTCATGCACTTTTATTCTTGAAATACAAAAAAATCAACAATTGTTAGAATACAGGAGGGCTCTTTAGTTGACACTGAATGGAACTTCTCAAAAATGTCCAGTATCGGATGATGTCCACTATAGAGAGGTTCAGTTCTAGCAAAAATCCCTCCTCTGGACCGAGAAAAAGTGTCCACTCTACGGAGGTGTCCACTATGGAGAGGTTCAGTTCCAGCAAAAACGTCTCCGTCGGACCGCGGAGTGTCCACTACGGGAGGTTTTACTGTATTGAAAAAGATCTTTAATTACAATCGAAAAATCTACTCGAGATATATTCTTATTTGTTTAGAACATTAAACTAAAATTTGTTTTTTTTTTCTCTTTATTTTAAAGGTTCGATTATTGTTGATGGATTTTTTTCAATAAATAAAGATTTACTTGTTCCTATTAAACAATCACCAACAGATATTAATCTTACACTTATTCCATCAACACAAGCATATATAGCAAATTCTAAACATATACATTCTTTTCTTACATTACCACTTGTACCATATGAATTAAGTAAAAATGGTTTATTTCAAGCATTAAAAGATCGTGATTTAATTAATGAAATAAATAATGATTTAATTGAATCAACAATAATAACAACAATACTTTTATCAAATCAATTTGTTGAATTTCTTCATTGGTTATCAAATCAAAATAATAATAATGATAAACAATATATTAAACGTTTATTATCTATAGTACGTTTTCGTGAAACAAATAATTCATCAATAATAACATTAGAAAAATTAAAAAATTATGATAATTTTAATATATCAACATTATTACCATTACCATCACATGTTTTACCAGCAAGTGTAGCTTCATATTTATCACGTGAAGAATTACAAAAACAATTATCATTAACACCATTAACATTAAAAGATTTTCTTCATTATTATTTACTTAAAAATCAATTATATTTATTTACAAAAGAAAATACATCAACATGTTTATTACATATTATATCAAAACATTCAGGACAATTAAATAAAACAGAATGGAATAAACTTAAAACAATATTATCAACAATAACATGTATACCAACAAATCAAGGTATGAAAATTCCAAATGAATCATATATTCCATCATCAATTTTATCATCAGATTTACCAATTATAACATTAAATGTACCACAAAATGTAACTGATGATGATGATGATGATGATAATAATAATAATAATGATGAACAATCTATAATTGAAAATATAGAAAATTCTGTATCAGCTGAATTTCTTAAACGATTAGGTTGTCGAACATTAAATGTACAATCATTTGTACATGCACGATCATCATTAATGAATTCAAATTCACATACAATGAAAACATTAATACAACATTTAATGGAAGAACGAGATAATATGAGTGAAGGAGATTTTAATGCATTAAAACAAAGTGAATGTCTTCGAGGTAAATTTCAACAATGATATATATATATATATAAACTATTTAAACATAATATCTTTATTTTTAAGGTACAACTCTCATACCAAATAAAGATAATACACGAAAATATGCACCACAAGATTTACATTTTCCATCTGTTGCTATTCAACTTCAATGGTCAACATTACCAATAATTGATTGGTATGATATTGATCCACGTTCACATGAATATACATTTTTAAAAGAAATTGGTGTACGTGAAGTACCTGATTTACAAAAATTAATTGATCGAATTATTGAAGAACATAATGAACAAAAGAAAAAATCTATTCAAGAATATAAAATACCAATAGGACTTAAATTTTTAGCTGAAAATTTTCAACAATATTATTCTAAATTATGGAAAACAGCTAAAATAAAACGAGCTTTTCTTCCATCATTTTCACCATCAAAAACAATTATATTATCAATACCCGATGAAGTTTTTAAAGGTTTTATATTATTTATTATATATATATATATTTTGATTTTTACTTATTAGATGAAAGTCCATTATGTGCAACACTTTTATCTGATGTTGTTCAATTATTTGAAGAACATTTTAATATAGCATTACTTGGTATTAAAGATCGTCCAACATTAACAGTAGCTTTTGATATTTTAATGGAAAAAAAAGAAGAAATTCTTAATATTGAAACTGCTCCAAAAATTTTTGCTTATATGAATCAACTTGATGGTTTAAGTCGACCATTAATTGAACGTATATCAAAACTTGCTTTTATTCCACTTGAAGGTAATGAAAATTTTATGA